CGCGGTGTGTTTACTGGTCTGTGTTTACTGGTCCGCGGTGTGTTTACAGGTCCGCGGTGTGTTTACAGGTCTGTGGTCCGTGTAGGTCACATGATGAGCTCCGCCTTCTCTCCATCATCTTACCTGAGCTTCGGTGTGTCTCCCCCTGTTGGTCACCGTGAGGACCGCGGCGTCTCTCAGCACTCTCTGTCCGGCTCCGTCCCCTTCCTCCTCTACCCCTCCGGCATGGACCCTCTGAGGGGCCCCTACCTGGCCCCCTTCCACCACCACCACCATCACCACGGACACTTCAGCGTCTACGAGTGTCCCTTTGAGCCGGCGTTCATCCAGAAGCGCAACGAGCGCGAGCGGCAGCGGGTGCGGTGCGTGAACCAGGGCTACGCCAAACTGAGGGACCACCTGCCGGGTCAGAGCGCCGACAAGCGCCTCAGCAAGGTGGAGACGCTGAGAGCCGCCATCAGGTACATCAAATACCTGCAGGGCCTGGTGGAGCTGGAGGGCCGGACTGTGGAGGAGACTCTGACAGAGAACTGAGACCAACATCCATGTAGTGGACATTAATGACAAATAAATTATTTACATGCGTGTGAGCTGACAAGAATTAAAGGAGTCAACTGATCGTCCTTTTATTAAAGTCAGATATTATGGATCAGCAGCAGAATTCTCTCTGCAGCAACGTTGTTTATCACTTTAAGGAAGTTGCTCTGAAAATGTAATTGTATTATTTTCCTCTTTTACCACTCCAGTCCTGATCATAACTATCAAATGTTCATTCATTTAAAATAATTTTAACCCTTTTAAATGTTTCTTTACATGAGGTTGGTTTAAATGAATAGAAAAAAACATTAAAAATGTTTAATTTTTTGCTGTTTACCTATTTATTTATTTTAAACAGGGTTACATCATTGATTATTTATCAAGTGCTCAATAATACAGCAGCCCCTAGTGGAAACCAGGAGAACAGCATGTAAAAACCACTGGAAAATAGTAAAAATACAATTTATATATTGTATATAATAGATTTGATACTGTCACAGCTGTAGGATCAAACATTTCTGTCCATTATTTTGGTTAAACAGTATTTTGGGAGCCGAGGTTGAAAAGTCTCAAATATATCTGATATATATATAATATTATTACAGGTATTCAGTCATAAACAGCAGCATTAGATGCATTCTGATGATCACCTCAGTTATTCCAGTTCATCCTCAGGGGAACACGAATGAGCCACCACATTCTAATCACAATCCATGAACTAGATGTTGTTGCTCAGAGATGAACACTGTGAGACCTGTAGGTGGCGCTGTGTTTACCCATCTCTCCTGCAGCTCCTCTGGTTGAGTGAACAGCTCCCCTTGCTGGACAGACTACAGCCTCACATCTGTTAGGAACATTAAACATCTGCAACATTTAGAAACTATTTAATCTGTAAACTGAACGTCAGACTTGATCGTCAGTGAAAATGTAGGAGGAAAAAAAGCAATAAGGAGGCAGTGTGTGATTATTAAATATTGATTTAATATTCAAATCGCTCGTATCGAGTTGTGAGGAAGCGATGACGCAGAATTAGTTACCCACCACACAAAGCATTAGAAAAATAAAAAGCTTTTCTTACGACTAAAATAAACACCAAAAGATTCCTCCTGTTTCCACCTGCGCCTCCTGTTGGACTCCTTTAAAAACATTTAAAATGTGTCATTTTCCTTCCTCATGACAACATCAGCTGACAAACACCAAACATGTGTCAGATGATCCTCGTGTCTACATGTTTCTTTATATATATTAACAGACTATTTAACTCCTGACTCAGGATTAATAACCTCAAACATATCATCCACTTCAGCTCTTAAAGTAACGATGAGTTGTTGAATGAAGCCAACTGTCGGTTCCTCTTGTTTTTTTAGATAAAAGGAGATCATGAAAATAAACATTTGTATTTTTTTCAGTTTCAGGTCACGTCTTTAAGGTTAAAAGTGTCTCTCAAAGGATTTTCATGTAAATTAAGACGTCAGTATCTGTTGAAGCTGAAGGAGGTCACGCAACGGCAATATGTTTGCAATACGAACATTTCCTACTGATGTAGCTTCACAATAAAAGCATTTAACAGGTCTTTTAATCTGTAGGATTTACAGGAAATGCAAACACGTTCATGCGAACAGTTCAATAAAAAATATTTTTTTAATAAAGACCAGATTTGAGGAACAACGTTAGAATGTTATTAATACAAGTTCCCCAAAAATAGATTCTGTTACTGAATATCTGAGCAGAGAATTTATAATAGTGCATTTATCTCCCTTTTATATGAATGAATTGATTAAATTAGTAACTGTTAGTTTTATTCACTTCTTTAGATGTTTTTTTTCCTCCACATTCGACATGATGCATTCACTTTAGAATCAACCCATAAATGTTTAAATTATATCAAATCAATACTACAGCCAACATTCGTGGTCTTAGTTCTGAATTAAAATAATAATTAAAAGTTTAAAGCTGTCGCGCAGCAGTTTATTAATTAACACTTCTTCTTCTTCAGGTGTGAAGGAACGTTAATACCTCTGATTAATATACTGATTAGAGGAAGAACACTATTGATCATCAGTGATTAGTGGGAGGAGCAGGTAGAGGAGCTTTATTCTACACTAATGAGATCGATTCATGCAAATCGATCTGATTCAAACACTTCAGTTCGACCTCCCGTCACTCACAGACGAGCTTTAAATCTTTGGCTTTGAAGTTAAACTAGAAGCTTATAGAGAAACACCTGAATCGTCCTCAGACTGGTTTCATCCGGTTCTTCTTCTGTAAAGACGAACGAGTCATCAGGAAGTCCTCAACTGTACCTCCGAGTCACAGAAAGAAGCTGCTGATTAGATCAATAATAATAAAACAATTAATTTAATGTTTCATGTTGAGCTGAAATCATTAGAATCAATTCAGCCATTAGTGGATCCAGTCTGATGATCGGTTACTCCATTTTTAACAGTCTGTCAAATGTAAATATATATCATATATATCTCAGTGAACTGACTTTCTGCCGGTGTCGAACAAAACAAGACTGGACTCTGAGGACATTTTTCACTATTTTTTGACGATAAATGATGAATAATTAGTTTATCTAATAATATAAATCTATAATGAAAACAACGTCGTTTCATTTGATGGATTTCTGGGGGTCTGAAGAGTTAAATAATGTTTTACATACATAAGAAAAACTGTTTTTAATCTTTTCTTTCCGATAAAAACAGCCACTTGTTTCTGTGATTTAATCATCAGCACTAAAAGTGAAAATGTAAACTGGATGATTACACAAACAGAACAGCTGCAGATATTTTTAGACGTCTGTCCATCTCCAGAAATAAAAATAAAAAGGAGGACGCTGTCCCACCAGGACACGGTGACGACTTCTCTAACAGTGAAGCGCTTCAGGACACCAGCCAGTACTTTACTAAAGCAGTCGGTCATGAAGCGGCTTTGAATCGTGTTTCAGTCCAGAGACGAAGCTGCAGAAACAAAACAGAGAAGAAGTCAGTCAGTAAAGAGTCCAGCAGCTCTCAGTCTATCCACATGTCCTCTGTGTCTCTATAGTGTCTCACTGCTCAACAAGTGCAGCTTTTCATTTCCTCAGTAGGACAGGTATTGACCTACAAGGTCCCAGGACGTAGAGGACAGATCAGATTGATTGTCCTCTGTTGTCTAGGACATATAGGACAAATCAATTGTCCTCCAGTGTCCAAGACAGAGGGCAGATTGAGCTCAGATATCAAGGACAGAGAGGAAAGATCATCCCTCAGTTGTCCAGGAGGTAGAGGATGAATCAATTGTCCTCAGGTGTCCAGGATGAAAAAGACAGATTGAGCTCAGACATCAAGGACAGATCATCCCTCAGTTTTCCTGGACGTAGAGGACAGATCGATGGTCCTCAGGCGTCCTGGACGTAGAGGACGGAGACGAGGCGGCGGTACACCAGGTGTCGGTGCTGTGGCTGCAGACAGAAGGCGATGCTCTGCTCCACCTCCTGGCAGCGCCTCAGGAACCGGAAGCGGTCCCGGGCCAGCTCCTCCCAGGGACCCCGCCGGTCCTCCTCCTCACCACAGCTGGCAAAGAACTCCTCCACGTCGTCACAGAAACGGACCTGAAACAAGAAGAAGAAGAGTCCCGTTTAAAATCGAATGTAGGATTAGGCCAGGATATTTATTTATATTTTAATTTAAGCAATTTAAATCTGTGACAGATGTCGTAGTTTCAATTTGACTTTAATACACGTTTATTAAATGCTGCTCTGAATGTGTGGTCTTTGATGTACATCCAGGTTTTAAAACCAGACTTGACTCTTTATGAAACAGCTTCATCTTGGTTCAGCTCATTCAACACAATATAAACTTTAAAATTAAACAGAAACCAAAACACTGCAACTTAGAACCAGTGGAAGAATGTAACTAAGTACATTTACTCAAGTAGTAGTAGTACTGTACCGAGGTACTTTACTTGAGTATTTTATATTTTATGCCACTTTCTACATAACTCAGAAAGTAATATTGTTCTTTTTACTGCACTACATATATTTGATAACTTAAGTGTCTTTGCTGATTTAGATTATTAATACAAAATATAAATACCAAATAAATGATGATGTATTACTATAGATTTAACTAAGCAGTAGTAAAGTAATTAAAATGAGCTCCACCTTAACCACCTGCAACATTAAAGTGACACTTTAATGCATCAATAATACTACAACACTATAACATATATTATTATAAAATGGGCCATTCTGCAAGATTAGTACTTTTACTACTTTAATCATATTTTGATGCCAATATTTTTGTACTTTTACTGAAGTAAAATGTTGAATACTTTTACTTACTTAACTACTTTAAGTATTTGATTACTTCCTGTTACAACAGGAAACCTGTAGTAACAGGTGTGGCTCTGCTCTGATGGAGCCACACCTGTTGCCTCTCTGGAGCGTTTTTAAAAGTTTGAATTTTTTATTTGTTTTTTAACACCACACCCCTTTATTATTAATGTTATTTGATTTAATATGTTTAAAAATTAGCATTAAAACTGGTTTTACCCGATTGACGAAGCGAATGTTGCCGTTTCTACACAGCTTTATATATATATTCAGATACTTCAAAAATACACATTAAAACACATTGATGGAAACACGGCTAGTGTGACCAGGATAGTACTCAATTAATTCATTCAATTAATTTATTGATTATGTTTATATTTGTGACCCTCCACAGACAGTAAACACTTATTATGTATGAACATCTGCTGCTTTACTCATTTACTTTGCTGGTTTTATGATTTAATTAAATCAGTCTGACACATCAGAATCAAACATTATAGATTCGTTTTTATTAATCAACAGAGACTCTGAGGGACTTTGTCCTGATGAATAAACTGGTTTGTGTGTTTCAGTTCCAGTCAACATGTTTGAACACGAGTCACTGCAGTAAAATGAGACGCTTAATTCAAGCAGGAAGCAGAAACAACCAGAGAGAGAGAGGGAGAGAGACAGAAATAAAGAGAGAGACAGCAACAGAGACAGACAAACAGGTTGAGGATTATTAAATGAGCTGGAAGGAAATAAAACAATGTCACTGTTCAAATTTAATTTTCTGACTTTGAAAGTTTACAACCAAGTATTTCAACATCCGTGCTCATTAGCACGGTTCAGTACGGATATAAAAAATAACTCCTTGTTTTATGATTATGTTTAATTTACTCAGTTTGTATAAAAACGTAATGTTCTGTAACGATTTGTTCGAAGAAACGTCTTTGTTGTGCGTTTGTTTTGATCCCTTTAAGATAACTGGTTGATTTCTTCCCCGTCTGGTGTCATTTGAAGTGAAACTATCCTGAATTTTAAAAAGACATTAAATTAGTAAAATATAGATAGATAGATAGATAGATAGATAGATAGATAGATAGATAGATA